AGATTTCACCCACATTCCCACTGAATGTTGATTAGCAGCACCTCAGTGATGTCAACAGTTCTTCATCTGGTAACAACCTGGGGTGTCTTGATGGAGCCAATCTTAATGACACCAGTCATGTAAACAAGCTGCAGCTGAATTTCACAGCTCCACTTAGTAGTTTTAGAAGACTATGGGAGCAGTTAGTAAGGTGTAAAGAGAGGGAGGTATGAATGCCATGGGAAATAGCACCCCATAACATTCCCAGAAAGTATCCATCCCTACTGAAAGCTTCCCTGTGCAACTATGAAAACACGACCTTCCTTTTCCAGTTACCAGGCCATTAAACTGTCTGAAGCTGGGACTAAATTCCCTTGGCAGTGAGTCCCAATGTAACCTAACACCAGGCTGCTTTGATCCTGCCAGTGTGGAGCAGCTGCAATGCAGGAGACAGTCAGGATGGCATAACTGGGATAACCTGGGGAAGGAGCTGAAGCTGCTTCACAGCCTCCAACAGGGAGTCAAGGCTGAGATCCAGCACTCTGAAGTAAGTTAGGCAGGGACATGGGCAATCTCATCCTGCATTCACCATTCGCCTTGAAATGGATATCTTTATCACTAGCCCCTTCTAACTTGGTTAGAACTAAGTTCTAGCTTGATTTTTGAACTCTGAGAACATGTCTTGAGACTTCTTTCTCTAATGGACATTGATAGAGATACAGTTCACTTGGATGTTCAAATAATGAAAGCTGAGTTCTTCCATTCCAAGGTGTAGGGGTCTCAAGGAATAAAAAGGGCAAGAAATTTGGAGTGACTGCTGCTAACTTCAAGGGATCTGGCAATATGGTACCCCTGTGGTCTCCATTAGGTGGTACACTCAATGCTACCCTCAGCCCTCAAGAACTCTACCCTTAGTCCTCAAAGCAAAATCTGTTCAGAATTGCTAATACTTGTTACATGCATATTGGAAATGGCCTAGTACATTGTTTTGATATAACTGCAAAGTGAACAGCTACCCCTCCTCTACCAACCCAGAAGCACTACAGCAGATACATGGTTGTATGATATAATGCATCCATGAAGGAGATACTCAACCTCTATGCTGGTCATAAATCTGAGGAGAACTAGTGAAGCACCAATCTGCTGCAAGTTCTTCGCAGCTGCAGTGGTTGATGGGGTGAATTAATCAAAGATACATCTATTCTCAATCCATGTGATTCCTGCCAGCTCTGAAATAGGAAAGGCAGAAGAGACCCATGTGAACAGTTCAGGTGTGAATCCAGCCTCAAACACATGACAGCCCAGATCTTCCAAAACCATTTAGGTTAGGAGTTAGGTTCCATCAACCAAAATCGTTCAGGTATCAGAAAGAACTTCCATTAGCTGACTCTTGAAGTCATACATTGTTCCAAGCTGTACTCAGGAAATCACACAGAGAGATTGAAATCTGCTCAGAATAAACAACTAAACCAAAAAATGCCCCCATTCTCCTTTCTCAGGTAACCACCTGTCTCCAGAAGCTGAATCTTTAAATAAAGTGTCAATTATTGTGAGAAACCTGATGCAACTGCAAGATTTGACAATACTGAAGATGCAAAAAAGGTTTTGAATATGAAACTGTGAAGATTAAACACTAGGTGGAGTAGTTGGACTACATTGAAATTGAGATTTGTAAAGCAACTAGTAACAGCCACTGTAAATATTTTGAAATCAAGGGCTTAGTAGCAAGGCACAGCATATGAGAACATGTGTCTCCAGGAGTGTCACTTCAGGGAGTTAGATGTATGCTGCTCAATTCTTGCTCAGAAGACAGTCACCAGAAGGGTTCTTCCTTCAGCTTCTTGTCTGTTAGGTCCTGAAGTCTCAACACAAAGAGATAACAGGTTGGTCTGCACATTGCTGAGTGGCAGATATAAACAGCAAACCAGTTTAGCACTGAGGGAAGTTGTTCTGCTTATCTCAAGTGTCAAAAAGGAGGTAACTCTTTCTATGAGCTCCTTGCTCCCTGTCTTCTTTTTTTTTTTCTCCCCTTTTCCCCACTCTCTTAGTTTGTGGTGAAACTTTGAGAAGCACTGCTGCTCATGCTGCCTTAAGCATGCCTCGTGCTCACCCTGCAGATGGTTTCTTCATTCCCAACCCTTACATCATTCCCTCCAGCTTGTGGGCATTGCTATATGTTCAGCTGCTTGCTGAGTCTGTTTTTTGAGCGGGCACAGTGGAAAAATCACCTGGACAAAGAGAAAAAGGGATACAGCTACGATACCTTCAGCCTGGAGGAGAGAAGGTGTTGGGGCTATTTTATTGTGGCCGTTCAGTACTCAAAGGGGGCCTATAAGAAAGATAGAGACAGACAGTGCCTTTAGCAATGGGACCCAGGCCAATGGTTTCAAACTAAATGAGGGTAGATTCAGACTAGACATAAGGAAGAAGACTTTTATGATGAGGATGGTGAGACACTGGCACATCACAGGGAGGCTGTGGCTGCCCCAACCCTGACAGTGTTCAAAGCCAGGCTGGGTGAAGCCTTGAGCAACCTGGTCTGGTGGGAGGTGTCCCTGCCCAGGGCAGGGGGTTTGGACTAAATTATCTTTAAGGCCCATTCCAACCCCTAAAATTTCTATGATTCTATGATCTGTCAAAGAGCTCTGCTACCACCAGAGAAGGGATGTTGAAGCAGGGTTGAACACTTATGGATGGAGGAGGGAAGAAGGGAATAACAGCCACCAAAGAGGGGTCCATGTTATCACAGCCTCTGCAAGATGTAGAAAGCCCAGTCAGGATCTGGGATCCCATTACCCTGTGAATCTATACAGACACAGAGTAAAACACCCTGGCACATCAGTGCAAGGTGAAAATAAAGCAAGACCTCAGAGTGCCTGCGATGAACCTTTGACAGGGGGCGTTTAGTGCCTCTCCACCTTTCTGAGTGGCTGTGCAGAGCATCAGGTTGTTTAGCCTGGAGAAGAGAAGGCCCAGGGGAGACCTTATCACCCTCTACAACACCCTGAAAGGAGGTTGGAGTCAGGTGGGTGTTGGTCTCTTCTCCCAGGCAACTAGCAGGAGGACAAGAGGGCACAGACTCAAGCTCTGCCAGGGGAGGTTTAGGTTGGATATTAGGAAGAGATTTTTTATGGTGAGAGTAATCAGGCATTGGAATAGTCTGCCCAGGGAGGTGGCAGCCCCCTGAGCCAGAAGCTTCTGCCAGAAGCTCCCAGTGCCTCACTAAGAGGAGGGTACAACGTCCAGTCTGTTTGTGAAATAGGCCATTGGAGGCCTAAAACAAATTGCCCTCAGGGCCAAGGATAGTGGAGGCCATGCTCTCTCCCAGCCAGCCCTGCGAGGACGGCATCTCTCAAGAGCAGCAGTTGGTGAATGGGTTTTTGACCTTTTCAACTTATTGTATTGGTATCTAGCCAAACAATTTAAGTTCATCTGTAGCATGCAATGTTCAGGAAACAGAGGAATGACATGCATGTTTCCTACCAAAGAATAAACTACCTTTTGTGGTGGAGTGAATGGGGCTTTTGCTGCTGATGGCCGGATGCCCTCCTGCGCTGTGCAAGCAAAGAAAACCTTGAAGGGTTTGAGAGGCTCAAACTAGAGTGACATATAGAAAAGCAAACCTTCCCTCTTTATTCCCTGTAGTTCACAAGTAGATTCTTGCAATATTTCTTCATGGATGAAATCCTGACCCCACTGCAGGAGGAGATTTGACACTGACGCTGTCAGGGCCATCACTTCACCCCATGTAGTTTGGGGTCTTTAGCTTGAAAGCAGCAAAGCAAAAGCTTATCCAGGGCTGCTCAGCACCATGTGTCAACTCCTCTGACTCTTCTGTATGAGCCTGAAAGAGGGATCAGGTGATAAAGTCAGTACCCACTAAAGCCTGTTTAGAAGGTTTTTCTCAAAAAAAAAAAAAAAAAAGGAAAGAAAGATATATTTTAATATTCAAGTTACAGTGCTCAGTAAAACAGTTGAGTTCAGCTAAACTTAGATAGATTTTCCTGGACTTAAGTGACTGGAAAAATAGGATTTTTAGCTGCTTGTTGCTTACACATCAACATGGCAGCATGTTTGAGGTCAGGTGCCCACTGGCTAAAGTTGACAAGACTATAGTTGTCAATGATCTCTTTCTTCAGAGCTAGGAGACACTGCTGATGGTCAGTGAAGATGTTTGGTGAGACAGAATTTGAATTTCTGAGCTAAAGGAAAATGGCTTTTGCTGTGAGAGTAATTAGACTCCGTAGCAGCTGCCCAGAGAGACTGAGGAGATACTAAAAGCTCGAATGGACACTTCCCTAAGCAAGCTGCTCTAGCAGAACCTGCCTGCACAGGCTGTTGGACTAGAGGATCTCCAGAGGTCCCATCCAACCTCAACAACTCTGCAAATCTGTGATTTAAAACACCCGTGTTTTTATTTGCACAACCCTGGGCCCTCTTTTTTTGGTGCAGATCCACGTTTCCCATTGAATTTCTGCCCAAAAAGCTGCTCCCAGCCCTGAAAACTGTACAGGTGGCTTTGCAGGTGATGGTGCAGTGGCTTGGCAGAATCTCACAGGGTGCCTAGCTACTTGTTTTTCCAATCTTCTTTCAGGATGCTCAGCATTCAGTTTCTCATGAGGGTACCCTACAGGTGGAATTTCCCATGTTGGCCCTGGGGAGGTGTCCTTGTTGGCACAAAAAGCTCCCAGTACATACTTGAGGTACTGTACACTATTTACAATACAAAGCCTGTTTACTGCTTGTGTCTTTCTTCCACCTTTTTACAAGCTTCATGTAGAACAGGGTCTTGATGCTGGTGCTTTGCATGAAGCTGAATCCCACACATTTCTCATTCTTCCTTTCTATCTCTCTCCCTGTTGTGAAAGTCCTCAGTCCAGTGACCACAGAGACAAGTGCCTACTTTGGAATTACTTGGATTGTATAGTATGGTTTGTTGACTTACACATTTATTTTATCTAGTCTTTTTGTCATATTCCTTCCCCCAAACCCTGTGGGACAAAAATTTATCTCTCTTATAGGAAAAGGGTATAAACTTGACCCACATTGAGTCTCGACCTTCACGTCTCAACAAAGATGAGTATGAATTCTTCATTAACTTGGAGGGCAAGAATGTCCCAGCACTGGACAAGATCATCAAGTCCTTGAGAAGTGATATTGGAGCAACAGTTCATGAGCTTTCACGCACAAAGAAGAAGGACACTGGTAAGGATTCACTGACAAAATTAACATTGTCAAGGGATATTTATGTCACATACTGAAACTATTTTCCTGTAGTAAAGGAAATCCCCTTGGCTCTGTATGGCTGCATTTCCCTCTCTCTACCTACTTTTGCCTATGTTCTAAGCTTTTCTATTTGGAGATTTTTTTCTCAGTGTAAACTGCCAAGTTCCATCTGTTGCCATGCTTCTGACTAGATCTCTGGGGAAACGAGAGAGGCTCTGCCACCCACTTGGGAGCAGGACTAACTCTCCATTGCTGCAAGAAATCCCGGGGAGGTCAGTTACAATTCTGCCTTTGGAGGGAAATAAGGAAAGATTTTGTGAGTTGTTCATGCTCCTAATTCTCAGAGGTTGGCTGGAGTTCATGCTGATTGGTACAGTGGTGGCTGCCCAGGAGCTAGTCTGAGACATACTTAAATGCCTCTTGAGATAACAGATGTGATTTTAATAGGATTTCAGACTTTAAATACTTTAGGTCTGGATCTTCCTCTTCCTTCCTAGAAACAACATGAAAGGACATTAATACCTTCTTGAGATCAGTGCTGGTAATCCTTTTACCGTTTCCTTTGTGTCCTACCCATGACATTACATTGAAGATGAAAAAGAAGAAGGCAGATACTCTTTGGAGTCAGTTCTCTCCATTCATGAGATGAAGGGACAAAAGGTTGATTAGGTGATTTATGATCATGTCAAATCAAAGAAGTTCAGAAGTTTTAGGGGCTTTTTTATTTCCAGAAGAAAGCTACAGCGCCTAGCAGGGCTTGGAATGACTTTCATTTTTCTCGTTATCATGAAGGAGTTAATAATAAACTTTATTAAATAATAAAGTGGTCTTTTCTTTTTTTCTTTTCTTTTCTTTTCTTTTCTTTTCTTTTCTTTTCTTTTTTCTCTTCTCCTTTTCTTTTCTTTTCTTTTCTTTTCTTTTCTTTTCTTTTCTTTTCTTTTCTTTTCTTTTCTTTTCTTTTCTTTTCTTTTCTTTTCTTTTCTTTTCTTTTCAACTTCTATCATGAGTAGTAAGGGCCCAGTCAAACTCAAATCCCCAGAGAACCATATTTTGAAAGGTCAAAAAAGCTTAGGGGAGGAACTGTGGGTGGCAAATCCTGGGCTGAGGCAGCTACAAGGGCCAAGATGGGAAGAGCCCAAGCTGTAGGAAGTGTGGTAAGACACTGTCCTTTATCAGTGTGGCAGTAACAAATACCAGGCATTGTGGTGCCTTTCAGGCCTGCTTCCCTTTCAAATGTATCCTCCTGGCAAGTCTTGTCATAGTTCACATATGTGCTTGTGTGAAATCTTATTCCCAAAGCACAGAATGAGAGCAAAATCCCAGAAATATGGTTTATGGGGATATTGCCACACTCTTCTCAGTGGGCAGGTAAAGACTGGGAAGGTTTTCTTCTGGAGGCAGTCTGGGATCCCATGGGACTGATTATTTTACTGCTGTCTGAAGATGCTCTGATTCCTTCCCTGCTAAGAATTAATTTTGCTCATGATTTGAGACAGAAAAACGTTATTTTGCTGTCTCCTGTGGGAAGCACAAAGTGCCGTTCTTGCGGTCCTGCTTTGACACACAGAAGAAATGTCTATATTTTGCCCCTTCTGTATAGTTTAGTGTTAAACATGTGTGTATGTGCTTTAAGGGGCAAGGGATAAATGAATGGTTTTTTCTTTTTTTTTTTTTTGAGTTCTTTAACTCCTTTCAGAGTCTTTTCACAATTCAATGCAAAATGTAAGACACATTCAAACAGATTCAAATACCAGATTTGGATCAACAGTGTAATTTTATCTGAGAGAGGGTCAGAAAAATGCTCGAAATCCAAATGTAGTTTTAGAGCTTCAGATGAGAAGGGTTAGCAGTGACTGGGCCAAAAGGCCTTTAATACAGACGAAAAGATTTGTTGTAAAAACACAGTGCATCTCTTCATGGCTCTTTTGGGAAACAAGCTGGGTGTCTTTGGTGCACTTGGAGCCCATGAATAAAAATAATTAAATATTATTCTGTTGCAGCATTAGAGAAATGCAGACAATTTCTTGCATTTTGGAGACAAGCTGGGAACTGAGGGTCTGTAGGGGCCTTGTTTGCTAAACCCTGAGGCTGGCCAAAGCATTTGAGACTGTTTAAAAAAAAGGGCTAAACCTGGGCCTTGAACTGCTATAAATTGCGTAGACCTGTCTTTGACCTTCCTCACAATGGTCCAAATGGAGGAGTTCTGCAGAAGTCCTTGCTGCCCTTGCTTTGCTGCCTCTTATAGAAATGGCTTATTAGCATTCTGCTAAGCATTTGACCCCATGGTAATTTGGTCACCACTTGGGTGTCCAGCACCATCCCATAAATGCTGCTGTTTTCACTTACAGACAAATCAATATTTATTACTTATCAGCCCACGTTTGCTCCTCAGACCTTCACAGAGGCTCAGTGTTGCAACAGCTTGCCCTGGCAATTCATTAATGACCATGCAGACAGACAGTGAGTCTGGTGAACGGGCTTGAGGAGGATGTTGCAAACAAACTATGGGATAGATTCAGCCAGGGGGTAATTTGATTTCATCTCTTAAATAGTTTCTGGGAGGGCTAGAAACAGCATCCTGGCACACCACAGCTAGGAAAAAGACCCAGTAGCCCTTTTGCCCCCCAATCTCTGGTGCAGAGGCTGTATGGACTTGATGCACTGTTTGCCACAGGACTGTGCTCAGAATATTTGAGTCTTGTTTCCACAAGAGCTGAGAAGGCTCAGGACGCTTTAGGACCCAATTTAACATCAGTTATGCTGTTGCAAGAAGCACTAAGCACCCTTTCGCAGCCTGCCATTTCCATCCAGCTCTGGAAGCTCAGAGTTTCACTCTTAGCTACCACTGGTGTTTGGGTAGACAGGATCAGTAGATTTCTGACCTCCTCCCAGGTCAGGTACCTACAGGAGCTGCATACCAGGAAGATAAGGGGCAGTTCCTGTGTAGGGGAAAAACAAGTCCTCAGCCCAGAATCAGTTTGTCCCAGAGATTTTCATGAGCTCTGTACCAAGTACTTCAGTAATCTTAAGAATGAAGTGTATTTAATGAAAGTAAGTCACTATTGTACATCCATTTTACCCCCTCTTGGAGTTGCAATGATTCAAACTCTGCCCACTGAGACCTTTCTGATTCAGGCCAGCAATGCCCTACAAACATCATTGGCGAAATCCACTGCAAACTTCAGCCCCCATCAACCTGTCTATGGAGCCTGGACCATTGAGGACGTGGTGTATCTCTGAGAAGAGTGGTTATTCCCTCTAACACTGGTAAATCCTTTGCCGTTGGACTGCCACACAGCTTTTTTCCAGTCCCTAATCCAAAAACATTTAGCAGTGTGCCTCACTGAAGACAGTTTGGAGCCTGATGCACAAAACAGTGAAATGATTCCCCCACAATCACACAAAGCTCAGTGACAAAGCCAGGAGATAAACCCATGGAGAAAACGGGTAGGATGGCTGGGTGTGCTCACCCTTCTCATGGTGTAAGTAGTGACTCCTTTCTAGGGCTCAAACACACCTTTTTGTACTCTCCCCCTCTGGCTAGTTTAACATAAAGGGCTGGAGGTGCAGGAAAGTTTCTAACAGCGAGGTGAGATAGTATTTCTGGAGCAACTAGGAGAACTAGTGGAACACGCAGCAGCAAATAAACTCATTCGGGCAAGCTGTTCCTGCGTCTGCTGCTGCCATCTAGTGACTTGTTCGGGTCTGGATTTTAGGGCAGAGCACCAGGGAGTGCACCAGGGAGGCGATGGGGACCAAACCCCAGTACTGCTGGGAGGGAGAAGGGGAGGCACAGTGCGAGTGCCAGGATGTTCTCTGCAGCCCTGCGGGCCCAGGACCTCCCTACCAGCAGCCACCTGCTGCCTGCTCGTTGTGGTTTAACCCCAGCCAGCAGCCAAGAACCACGCAGCCACTCACACTCCCTCCACCCCCTCTTCCCCCACAACCCGGAGGAATGGGGAGGAGAAAAAAATAAGAGTAAAATATGTAGGTTGAGATTAGAACAGTTTAATAATAGTAAAGAGCAGAATGAGCTAAAATGATAATGGATAATAAAAAGAACAAAATCAGTGATGCACAATCCAATTGCGCAGCACCCGCGGATAGACACAGCCCTGTCCCTCCCCCGGCTCTGCCCTTCCTGCTTATAGACTGGGCATGACATGCCATGGAGTGGAATATCCTTTTGGCTCGTTCAGGTCACCTGTCCCGGCTATGCTCCCTCCCAGTTTCTTGTGTATCTTCTCACTGGCAGAGCATAAGACATAAGAAAGAAAATGTCCTTGATTTAGGATAAACACAACTTAGCAGAAACCAAAACATCAGTGTTATCACTCTGAATCCAAACACTGCACTACACTAGCTACTGAGAAAATTAACTCCATCCCTGCTAAAACCAGCACACTGCTCTCCCTGGCCTGCCTGGAATAAATCTGCAGGCTCCCAATGGGAGTGCTGGATGGGACCAGGCTGGTGGTGGGACAGTAGGCCAGGAGGATGGGGAACTCTGCATGGGGCTGACCTGTAGCTGCCCAAAATGTGCCCTGTAAATCTGCTGCTGCTGCTCCAGCATCTCTGTGCGTGTGCCTTGCAGAAACTCCATGCTGTAAGTGCCCACTGTGTTGTTAGGCTCAGCCGAAAGCATAGCTGAATAGTCCTGGAGACACAGATCCTCTTATCCCATAGGTAGTCCATCAGATCTGGGATGACCCCCATCAGTAAGGCACTGCAGGGAGCTCATGCAGCAGCTGCCAGCTAGTGACAGGTTCACAAACCCCAAAATAAGATGGGGAGGTATGACTGGGTGCTCCCAGCTGAGCAGAGAGCCACAGAAGGGGGTGAGCTGTTTTCCAATCACTGGCTGAGCGAGTGACACCCATTTGTGCAAGAAAGTCACTAAACGGATGGCAAATATTTTATTGGTAGAGGCTGCCCCTGGGCTTGGACCAGAAGATCTTTGGGTCATATTAGACTGAAAGTACATGTTGCTGACTTGTACTTAGTGTGAGGAGCATATGGGACATGACTGCATGGTGTACATCCTCAGGTCTTGTGCCTTTCCCACAGAAAAAGTAGAACTGAAAGTGGTGCAAAAGGAGGTGATGAGCGTGCTCATTGTTTCTGTGCCTAAAATACACAGGCAAAGCCAGGAAAACATATGGTAGAGGGAGAATCTGACAAGCAGCTCTAAAACCTGAGGTGGCCTGGCAAAGGTGAATAAAAACTAATGTTTTTATGCAGGATCTAATTAACAACGCATGAACTAATCGAGTTGTTAAAAAAAAGGGAGTAATTTTATACATCCCATGTAAAGGAACAATAGAGCTAAGTGCTGCAGAGTTTCTTGGAGACAGATGTGTACATGGGCTCAAAGAGCTATTAGTTGTATTTGTGAGAAGTTCATCACAGGCTATTAAATTCAGGCATGGCAATTGACTCTGACTGGGACAGAAGGAAAAGGGAAAGATGTAGGCAGCTGGAGTCAAAGGGCCAAAATGTAAGAATGGGGCAACAGAATGGAAACCCAAGTTACTGAACACAGCAGAGCTCACAGCTCCCGAGATATGCCCAGCTGCCAGTGGTACCTGGTGGTGATACCTACAGATGCACTTCCTGGAACAATGACTGGGCAAAGGTTCCTGTGCTCCCTCCATCGAGCTTTCCTGTCCTAGGGTTGCAGAGGGATGAGGTGGCCACACCCAGTGGTGGCTGACAAGGGGATCCCTGTCTGGAGGTGGAAAAGAGGGTCGCAGCCTGGTACAGCCACTGCACGTGTGTGCCAGGCCTCTTGCTACCAAGCAGATAGGTGGCAGGGGACTGTCTGGACCACTGGGGGAATGCACTCCAGGCTGGACCTGAGGTGGCTGCTCTGTGTAGCTCACAAGCTGCAAAGAGCCTCCCCAGGTAGTGCAATTGCTATGAAGACACTTGACTTCCTCTTTTCTCTATCTTAACACATCACATCTGGAAATCCCTGTGATTCTTCTTTGCCCTTCACCTTATATTCTTCTGCAAAGGGAGGCTCACATGGGCATTACATGCAGTATAGTCAGTGTGGTCCTTTTTCACCTGCTGGCTGTGCTGTAGGCAGGATGTACAGTATGTGAGTTACAAGGTAATAGAGAATCAGACCAAGAATGTTAATCAAATGAATGCATTATTGTATAATGGCTGCTATACTACAGTGCTAGCCTGAACTATTAGGGTGCCATTTATAATGCTGTTTCAGAATCCTAGTTTAAGGGAGATCACCAAGTAGGCCATAGAAAGAGGTTTTCAAAGGGTCAAATAATCCTGTATCCTTGTTGTGGGGTTTCTTGTTGTTCCTTTGAAAGGCCTGATTCTAGATATGGTGAAAAGATCCTAAATTTTAGTAAGCCAAGAGATTAGAATTAACAAACAGAAAAGCATAAACATTACAAGCCAGCTCTGCACCAAGGGTTAGACACTCCTGATACTCTATATTCTTCCAACCATGCAAAACAGCCACAAATTCAAGACAACCTGCGTGGTTTGTTCTTGCCTCCTACTACAAGGAAAGTCCATTGCTGCCCAAAGAATTTAGCCCCTTGTGTATGTTTCTTTATATATATTGCAAAGTGATGGAAAGACCAGAAGGAAGCCCCAAACCAAATAACAAAGAAGCATGCCAGACTCTGTTTCTTTTCTGTTTTACAGTACCATGGTTCCCAAGAAGTATCCAGGAGCTGGACAGATTTGCCAATCAGATCCTAAGCTATGGAGCAGAACTGGATGCTGATCATCCTGTAAGAAACAGAGCTTTTGTTGTTGTTGTTGTTGTCATTTTTCCTAGGTATTGGGACAGATTTTTCTCACATTTGCTCTGCTTTAGTATAGATCTAGTAGACTAAGTCTCCCATGGTACAGGACAGGAAGGGGTACCACATTTCTAGGGTTAGAATCAGCCCAATCCCTGGTTATGAAGTACATCATAGCGTTGCTAGAGTACAGGGTCACCACAAGGACACCTCTAGTTTTTCCAGGTGGCTCTGATGTGATGACTTCAGACTCATTTTGTGTCACTAAGATCAAAACTTTCAGAAGCAGCATATCATGGCCCAGAGATAAGAAGACTGTTTTTTTTCATCCTTGATTGATAGAGCTTAGTGCCTTGTTATGTGGTTGTTAAATCTGACATGGTACTTGCATGGTGAAACACACCAAAAGAAGAGGTTCTTGGTTCATGAAGTTTGTGGTTTAAATGTTGGCATCAAAGAGATTTGTTCATGCTAAAAAAAATTTGCTCTGTGGTTTTTCAGTGCTTTTCAGATACAAGAATATTTTCTCCCTCTATTCCCTCTCCAAGCAAACAACAACTTATCTTCATTTGTCAAAACACACTGAGTTACGTGCAGTGCACCAGAAATTGCTGCTATTAGTTTAATTGGGATAGGGTGATTATAAATAAATTACATGCAACGCAACCAAAATTGCTGCTATTAGTTTAATTGAGATGGGGTGATTAGTCATTCACTACCTATTGCTTAATTCGAGCTGTGTTATGTACCATGGACAATGATTCATGATGCTCAGTGTGGTCGTATGAAAGGCAGACTGAAAGGAAATCCACTGAGCCAGTGGCCTCCTTGTGTGTCATGTGGGAATACAGCAAGATTGTATTTGAAAAAAAACCAAAGGAAGAAAAATATATTAAAAGGGGTGAAGCATCTCTCCTCCAGTTCCTCGAATTAGTTAGTGAGCACTCGTGCCTTAAAAAAGAAAGCCAGCTGCTGGGGTGAATAGTTGTGACAGTACACAGAGTGCAGAAAAAAAGAGAAATTCAAGGAGCCTCTGTTTATAGTAGAGCAATGATACATGGAATTTAATCACAAATGCCTCTATGACAAGTAAATCTTAGAATCATAGAATCAACCAGGTTGGAAAAAACCTCCAAGATCATCAAGTCCAACCCTACCTTGGTTACTAGACCATTGCAATATGTGCCACATCTAGTCTCATCTTGAAAACCTCCAGGGACAGTGAATCCACCACCTCCCGGGCAGCCTGTGGACAGTGCATCTTTATTTTGCATTCTCTGCCTCTTTTTGATTCACACTCTTAGATTTCCACTCCACTTCAGCTGTCTCCTGTCCTTGGTTGTGTTTCATGGTCCCTCAGCCCAACTGTTCCATTCAACCATAAGAGGTGCATTTATCAAAGAGTCAA